TTGAACCTAGGGCTTCTGTACTGTGCTACATCCTCAGTGCTTTTTTAAAATTTTGAGATATAGTCTTTTTAAAATGTTGCTCTATTATCTTCTGATTTGTGTTATTTAAGGCAAAAATTCTACTGTGAGTATGTAAAGTGTCTTTTTTCTTTTCCTTTTTTAAAAAACAAACACTTGCTTTCAAGTCTTTCTCAGGCTTGGTTTCCAGTAGTCTGTCTACGGTATATATTTTTACTTGTCATCAGTATAAAAGTCATAAAAGCTGAATTTGGTTTTGTTGATGGCTTTTTCTCTCAACCATGAGTGAGATAAAAAGCCATCAACAGAACCAAAATGTTTCCTTTGCTTGGCTGAGTCTACTAATTTTGAGTGACTAATGAGCAGCAGTATTATTAACAAGTGGACACTGTTAATGACTATTTTCCCGTCAAACTATCAGTGTGGAGGAAGAGTTTGGTCAATCTACTCAGGAATTGATACAGTTACTTGAAGCATACCATAGGTTTCAAATTTCTCTACTGTGGACTCTTCCTGTTTGGTGCACAGAAGCCTCTTGTTTTGTTTCTGCTTTCCTGTCAGTGTTCAACCATTACCTCGGGGGCTCCCACCATGCTCTGGACCTTCTCAGAGCAAACTGAATTTGTGAAATGCTGCTAGGATAAAAGCTGGGGCACACACTGCCCGGGTCCAACCTGTCTTAGGGAGGCCTGCAGTTGTTCTTCCCATGGCAGTCAAAATCTGTTTTCTATTTCTGTTGATCTTGGATGAGAGTTTCTAGCTTCTCCTCAAGTAATAAATGTCTGCCCTGTGATACTGTACAGGATTCTAGAGCCTAAAATGATGCTCTGTACTCTTTTGTTTTTTGCACTTGCCCTAGCCACAAAGTGAGTTTCTGCTTATATCCTGTATACAGAGGGTTTCTCTGACAGAAGCAGAGGAGTGTGGCTTCTAATCTCCCTGTAGAAACTTATGAAATGAAGTTTTCTCCTCTTTCCTCACTGGTCTGAGACTTTAAGAAGGATCTGAGTAAATGCAAGGAAGTTTGTTCTTACCTCCCAGCAGGACAGAATGCCACCTTCCCCTCTAAACCACAGAGATACACTGACTTTCTGCTGTGCCCTCTCAGTTCAGAGTAAACTGAGAAGTCAGAAAGAAAAGGCTTACAAGCTAGTATGAACTTCCTCTGAGATAGCAGATGTTACAAAATAAGCTATACTTGAGACTTTCAACAATTATTTAACAATTTAGGGGTTTTCTTCCTGTTCACATTTATGGTAGCAATCTCCTCTGATTGTGTTAAGCATAAAACAATTCACATGACTCATTCCTTGGAGTTTGAGGTGAGAGGCTATCCTTTTTGGAATTTACATGACTTAGCTATTATGCAAGCCCAATTCTCTGAGAATCCAAGAGAGGTTATGATTTTGAACCACGTTTTCTCTTACACTGAGAGGCGGATGTTCTCTGCACACTCTACATCCAGAATAGAAGTAGAAATCTCCTTCTGCTTCCATTTACCTTTCTTTTCTATGTAAAGGCATCACCATTCTTCCAGTGACCCAAATAAAACCTGGAAGGCATATCTCTCTTTTCTACAACAATGTTTAATACATAATTGGGTGATAAAGCCTGAATCAAATCATCACTATCTCTTTATTAGGATTCTTCGCACATTTCTCTGATACATGTACTCATTATAACACAAGAGTCCCATAAGAGCATTCAAAACACCCTGGACTTTGTCTTTCTCTAGTTAAATGTGAATTTCCCATCAGACTGCCTTTCTACAGCACAGCTTTGACCTCTGAGAAACATCCATGTCCATTACCAACGTGATCCTATCCTGTTACCTTCCTTCAGGAAATACTCTTTTTCCATATTGATTCAGATCCTACTTCCTTTGGAAATCTATTATTTTTCCATATTGATCCAGATCCTCTTTTTGATCAGTATCTGGAAATCCTATATCACTCATAGTGTATTTCAAAGGGGACAACTTATACTGAAAAGTTCCCTGATCACACAGATTCAATCTCCCTCTTCTGTAGTGCATGTAGCTTTATCTGTAGCACAAAAATAACCTTTAATTAGCCTTGGTACAGTGGCAAAGATCTGTAATCCCAGCATTCTGGGAGACTGAGGCAGAAGGATTCCAAATTTAAGCCCAGCCTGGGCAACTCAATGACTTAGCAAGACCCTGTATTAAAATGAAAAATAAAAAGAGGCTGGGAATGTAGCACTGTAAGAAGACCCTGAGTTTAATCCCCAGTACTGCAAAAACAAACAAACAAACAAACAAACAAACACCCCCACCCTCCCCCACAAAAAACCCCAAAACAAAAACTCAAACACCTCATCTGGACTGTATTAAAGTTGTATAAATCTCTCATGATTTTATATGTTATAAAACCTTTATGATATAAACAGGAGAGATCAAATCTTATAAATTAAAACAGCAAAAGAGAGGCATGGTGGTGCATGTCTCCAGTTCTAATACTTGGGAGGTGGAATTGTGGGTAACACTATGATTCAAGATCAGCCTGGGTAACAGAGTGAGACGTTGTGTCACAAACAAGCAAACAAACATGCAAGCAAAACAGAAAACAAAATCAGTAACACAATACTTCCCTTCTTATAACTTCTGTATATTTTAAGAATCCTCAGTAAGGGTCACTAAAAAATTCACCAGCTTATAAAAAAATGCTGCTCTAACATGGAAAGAAGTACATACACTATGACTAATTTTTATATCATCCAAGCATTTTCAGAGAAAAGTTCAATTAGTATTATTGTTCTTTTAGAGTTAGATTTATAATGATAATCTTGAACACAAAACGTACTGAAATCCCTTTGCTAGTTTCATGTAAATATATCCCAAGATAGCCACAAAATTTGCTCAGAAAAAGTCACTGCCATTAGTGTAAACACAACAAAGCAAAACTACCCTACCAACTATAGCCTACACTGCTAGTTCCTTACTTGGTACTCATATTCAGGCATGTTGCCAGGATGGGAAAGTGACATGTTTCTACTAACTGTAAAATAATTTCCAGTGATTAAGAGTATAATCACAGACAAGTATGGGCAGAAAAATATATAAAAACCCTATATGCTATTCTAATGAAAAGCCAGAGTAGGAGGATATTTGGCAAAGTGATAGTTGTCAAAGAAATCCTTCTGGGAACCACAATGGTACCTGACCATAACTGACTCTAAAAGATCAGCTGTCTCAAGTGGCATTTTTTTCATGCATTCTTGAAAAGTTCTTTAGGTGCGAAATAAAAAAGTAAATAATATAGCTAATGATTACCTTTATTAACTATTAACTTGTTACCCAACAATTGGATTTTTAGTAATCATAAAAATGTTCACTGGGGATACAGCTCAGCAGCACAGCATCTATTTGGCAAGTATGTGGTTATGAGCTTGATTCCTGGTACCAAAAAAACAGTTCAACATAGCATGGTGACCTCTTTCAGAGGAAAGCCCAATTAGTATTAATTTAGGGTCCATTTTAATACTTTTGGAATAGACTTTTTATTTCCCTTTGGAGTTGGATTTATAACGATAATCCTAAACACAGACTACTAGAGGGGGGCACTGAGGATGGACTCAGGGTCTGTACCAAGTGATATCCCCATCCCTTTTTAAAAAATTTGATACAGGATATTGCCAAGTCACTAAGTTGCCCAGGCTGGGCTTGAACTTGTGATGTTCCTACCTAAGCCTCCCAGTATTGTTCTTAATAATAAAAATAAAAGGACAATTTAAATGCTATCCAACAGGGAATCAGTTACATAGAACAAAGTGTGTATATATATTATTCAACAATGAACAACAAGTCAGTATTGTTGATACAAACATTGTGATAAATTGCTAATGTGTATTTGTTGACACGGAAAAAGATCCACAGATGGAAAGCAGTAGAAGGTTATAAAATTATAAACTTGTATCTATGTGTGTTCCTATACAGTAACCCTAGGTGGCAGTATTTGCTATATGCTCCAGTTACCAGCTTACTGACTTTCAGCTTCTAATTCAGATTTCATTGCCTGCTCTACCTAAATGGAGCTGGGTCCTCTCATTTGCCAGCTGGCATATGTGTAACATTAGCAGTACAGGCACTAGAGATACACTGAAAATGGGGTTTCCTTTTTGATTCTAGAGCCCAGCCTTGGTGAGCTTCTACCAGTAGTTTTCCCCAACGCTCAAACCTCAGTAAGCTTTGCAGCCTCTGCTGAGATATCTTCCTATGAAAGTTTTCCTCAGATCCTAGAGAGTGAATTCTGACCAAGTTTCATAGCAAAGCACCACATCAGCTTCCCTGCCATCTAGTACAGAACAGCCATGGCCTCTCCAACAATGTCTAGAGCTCAGTCCCAGGAAGGGCCTCCCCTGAGCACTCTGTCTCAGCCCTAGGGCTCCATGTATGTGCCAATTTTACAATTTTAAGAGTTCTCTTTACTTCTTACTAGCCAACCTTGACCTCATTGCAATTATTATATAATTACTATAACAAATAATTCCTTAATTTTTTTCTGCTGAAATAACAATGGTTTCTCTTCATTTGACTATGATTGATATATGAAGAAATTCTTTTCAGGGTTGTCTGAATTTTTTATAATATACGTGGGGACTTCTGGTTGATAGAAAAGACATGTTAATTTCATTTTGAAAAACTAAAATAATTTAATGCAAAATAGACATTATAATTTTTAATAGGGCAGAAATACAATTGTGAGATTAAAATGAATTCTGAAAACCACTCATTTGTGTTGACTATAATTATTCAGTTTTTCTTAATGCAAATTTCATTTTCTGAAATTGTGTTCTTCCCAGGTAATTTTAAGGAATGGAAATAACTTAGAGTGCTCTTCTTTTTCTCTCAGTCATGCTGTATCTTGGTCTTTACAAACAGGCTAACAATCAGAGGAACCCTGGAGTGACAGTTCCTCCATCACACAGTAGCCTTCTTCATCTGACTGCTCGGCCCCTCTTACCATGTTCAAGGATTATCAGCTGGGCTCCAGCTTGTGCATTTCCAACATCATTCTCAGCAATGCATTGATAGAACCCTTCATCTGATTTCACCAGACCCAAAACTTGAAGATTATGTTCCTTCTAAGGAAGAAAAACATATGAAAAATTTTGATTTAATTGATAAATGTTAAGTTCAAAATCTCGAGGATATGCTCTTTTTGGGAAGGAAAAATAAGTAAAATTTTAAGACTCCATTACTAATTACCTACTTATATACCTACTAACAATTTGATATTAAAACACTGGCAAACTATAGACTTAACTGACTGGAATAGTAAATATCATCACAAAGAATTAAGAATTTAACAAGCATGAAAAGTGATATTATCACCTTTGCTTGCAAAGTCATTTACATCTTTGCTTGGAAAAATATCTGGCAAGCACTAGTTAGTTTAAGGCATTATTTTCTTAAGATTATCTGTAATATCAATAATTTTAATAGATTAAACTACAATAACTTAACTGAAGTTGTAAATACATGTTTCCTAAAGCAGAAAGCATTGTATGAATGTCAACTATTGTTACTGTTTAAATTTTTAAAATACTATGGGAACGTGATAAAGTAAAAATGCTAATTTAACCATAACAGGTTGCTTTATAATTGAATACATATGGATTAATTTCTGTAACATGAGAACACATACTTCAGAAACAAAGCATATACTCCTACTAAAGATGAATTACTTCTATAACACATTTATAATGAGACATTAAATCTTTTATTACTTGTTAATGAATGCTATGTTTAGATTTTAAGGTATGTTATTAATATTTATCACTAAAATTCAGATGCTAATTCTATTATTAGAATTGGGAGAAGTTGAGGCAGGGTCTTACTACATAGTTCAGACTGATTTTCAATTCATTACATAACCAAGGCTGGCCTCAAAACTCAGTGATCCTTCTGTCTTAGCCATCCAAGGGCTTGGATCACAGATGTGTACCACCACACCCAGGTCTCTTAGAATGTTAAGATAATGATGACACTATAGAACAATATCTACTAAGAATTAATCTATATAAAGTGAAAAGATAATTATGGCTGAATTCTTTTTGAGACAGGATCCCTAAATTTTTTTAGGCTGGCTTTAAACTAACTTTTTTGATGCTAGGATTACACTTGGGAGGCATGCATAATCATTCCCAGCTGGAGACTTCTTAAATACATAACATTTTCTCATATACTTACTTTTAAAAAAATTTTTTTAACTGACACAAATACACAAACTTGTTCATATTGATATAGTACCATGTAATGATGCATTTACCTCCATAAAGAATCTTTACCTACTGTTATAATTGTCTCGTACTGGATAATTCTTACTTTAAAGGGTCTGGGGATCAGCATGTGTTTTTTTGATGACATTTTATAAGGTTTGTTGCATAATTAATTGATAGATTTTTTCAAAAGAATCATCTTTCCATACTTCATGGGACAGATTTCTGCTTTTTGAAAAAAGAGCTGTGAAGACAAGTGCAAACACACACACACACACACACACACACACACACACACACACAAAAGAAGTCTCATATACACCAATTATTTCCCAGAAAATAAAGAAAGCTAGATTTAAAAGTACCAGACTGTTAAGTTTAGCTCAACCATTAATTTGCTACGTGATCTCAACTCAAGCTACAAAAGTACTTTTGGGCTCAGCTTTCTTATCAGCCAATGACTGGTAAGATATATTCACAAAAAATATTCTTTGTGACCTTTTCTGTAAGTTTCTATTTTTTATTCATTTGTAGAAGATAAAGCAGCATATGTAGAAACGATGCTTTGAGGATCACTCTTAAAAACATTCAAAGATTCAGAAATAAAATATTCCTTTGAAAATTACTTACTACAATCTTAAAGTAATCACTTGGGATAACCATATCCCCATTCTTGACCCACTTCACAGTTGGAGTTGGCTTCCCAGTTACTTCACATTCAAATATAATATCCATTGATTCCTGAGCATATATATTAGCAGGTTGTTTCAGGAATTCAGGCTGGGCTTCAAAATAAAAAGAAAATTAAAATATTAATGAAAATAGGTAACTATTCATATTTTAACTAATTAAGATACTAACAAAAATTAAAAAGAGGCTATTCATATTTCAACCATTATATGATTTTACTGGTTATTTAAGCTCACATATTTTTATAAAACCACACAACAAATGTATGTTAAAAATATGTTAGGAAACAATATCTTCCAAAATTAATTTTCTGGTATAACTTTCTCCCGTTCCTTATTGAGAAATATTTCCTAGATTGACCATATTGAAGAACTGAAAATCTGAATTATTACAAGCTGTCTAAAAAGGCATATTAAAAACTTTTCCTAAGACTTATACCATTTTGAAAAAAGCCGTAATTAATCTGGCTATTAGTCTGTACATATATAATTATTTAGCTTTATAAGAACTTAAAGGATAAATAAATGAATCCGATGCTGACCAAAAAAAAAAAAAAAAAAGGTGCGGGAGGAGGAAAGAGAAAAAAAAAAGAACTGACGTGTTACATACATGTGTTACCAATTCCCACATCATGGATCTAGTCATTAGGTACTGCAAACACATACTAATAAAAATGAAAATGAAAAAATTTAAAAAGATGAAACAAACAAAAAGCCATAATTAAAATTTGAAGATGTGAAAGGACTGATATAATCTTCCCTTTTAGTCAGCTTGATGAATAGTAACAAGAAAATGTCATATTCCAGGCATTAAATACTCACATAACCCACTCTTATTAGAAACAACATTTATCATATGAAATGGTTTTAAAGTGACATAATCTTTGGGGAAAAGGTAAGTGTACTTGAAAAACTTTGAACCCTCCAATATCTTCCTTTCTTCTTGCCCCCAAAATGTTAATAACTAATTTACAAATAATAGATGCAAAATAGTTTCCTTAGAAAGGTTGAAATAATCACCTAGCCCAACTTCATAGCCAATGTCAATAATTTCCTTTATTACATCCTTGTTAAAAAATCCCTGCTTGAAAATTTCAAATGACAAGGAACCCCCTCTCTCACAGTCAGCCAGCTCCACTGTGGGCTAGTTCCACAAGCAACAATGAGGACAGCAGCAGCTGTATTCATCAGTGAGCTAACATGTGCTCCACCTGCTGGAATTTTGATGGCGATGGTGCTAAATTTGTAACAACTTAACAATATGGAGTTTTCCATCAACATAGTTTATCTGTCCAATTATTTGGAATTTTTATTCCTTTCATCAGTGTTCTATAGATTTCAATAAACAAATCTTATTTATAATTTCCTAGGCATATCAGTAAGAAATCTGATGCTATTTTAGGTGGTACTTCATTTTGCTAGGACTAGAGACTAAACCAAAGGCCTTGCACATGCTAAGCAAGCTCCTACCATTGAGCTGTATCTCAAGCCCTCAAAATATTCTGATTTTTCATTGTTCAGTCACATCAGCGCCCCAATGGGTGGCTTTCTACCTCTCTCCAACAGGGTCTGAGAGAATTTGGATTCTCTCCCCCCAATACTTATTTTCAGCTTTCTCTTTGTCTTTAACTTACAGCACTTATTGTAATACCAAAGCTGTAAATTTTGATCTGGTAAAATTTACAGCTCCTTTCCATCTTGGCATCTGCATTTCATTATTCTTAATACTCCAAAGGCCTCCCTGTAGCTGCACTATAATCATTCAATATTCACCTACATTTTCTTCTAGTATTCCTATGAAACAATCTAGATTTACTGGAGTAACTATTCAGCTTTATGTTTTACTAAATGGCAAGTTCAGTAGTTTCAATAAGAACAACTGAATTGAAAGTTTTAATAATCAAAATCCTTTATAGGTTTGTTTCTTTTTACCTTCCCCCCAAGAATCAGTCTATTCTTAAGACTATTGTTGTACTCTAAGAAAATAGCTTCGTTATATGTGTATTATAGCAAACCTGTATAGGGGCTTACTAAATGTGTTTGTTTTATCCTTTTTCCCTAACTGATATGTTAAGTGACCTAATTGATATGTTGAGCAACACTCTCCCCTGTAAAAAATTGCAAGAATCTCACCTAATTGATATGTTAACCATTGTTGCCCTCTACAAACTACAGAAGCTATGCTAAAACAAGCTAACAAGGGTTGTTAATCACTGCTAGGCGCCTCTATTCTCCGCTAAAGAGCTAAGGAAAACTAGAATGGCAATTAATTTACATTTGTTTAAAGTAACCTGCTTGTGTGCAGAGAGATTTGCGTGTGAGTTTAACCCTTTACCCTGACCTTGACACATTACCGCCGTTTTCTGTTCTGTATGGCACCTTATTGCCTCCCTCTCCCCTCACCTATCTATCTAGGCCATAAAGAATTTGGGTTTCTGGTGACCTCCCCCCGACCCGGTGATGATCTGTCGTAAAATGAGCCTGCCCCAATTTTAAGAACTGCTTAGCTTAAAAAAATTACCGGGTAATACTATGGCCCAAACCCCAATCGGTGCTTTCCTTTTGTTCTGTATGTATCAAATGAGTTAGATATCAGGTCTTTGTAAAACTTAAGTTCCAGCGTCTCATAACTCGTGACCCCTTCGCACTCACTAGCGAAGACAAGCTGTCCTGAGATAATTAACTCTCTACTTTCTTCTCCAAATATTGCTGCAGACGTGCCACTCTGAGATAATGTCAGTCTGCAAGATGGGAATAATTTAAAAAAACACCAGGAACTCCCTAGATTGTCAGAGCTAAGTGGACAGCAATACAGTTTCCAGACTCAGGTCAACAAGTTTGATGGCTCTGCAGGTTTCTTTGTCCCGCCCCCCCCCCCCCGCCCTTTCCTCCAGCCCCTTTTTAAAGTCCTCCCTTCAGCCTCTGGGGGACAGTCTCCAAATTGGCTCCCGGAGACTGGTCGCCAGGCCTGGAAATAAAGCCTTTGCCACTAAATTTTCAGTCTCTTGCCTCCTTGGATTTTATACCGGGGCCCAAGTTATAACAACTATAGCCACAAAATTAAAACTATATACTGTTATTTCCTTATTTGGTGGAACAAGTACTCTGTTGTTTATTCCTTTATTTCCTCAAAATTGTTCTAACATGTTTACTTAAGGTCGGCATCCCCCACATAAATTCAGACTCAGGTTAATTTCCACTGTCCCTTCTCAAAGCACATACATAAACAAGAGTAACTTGGAGTTTTTATTTGGTGAAAAAAACTTCACAAGTATTTGTAATCCTGACTTTTCTAATTAGTTTATTTTTGTGATAGAAAACTTATAGGTACCCATTGATTTGGATGAAGCTCCTGTACCAATAGTCAAACCAAAATGGAGTTACTGGTGCTAAAGTTTCACATTATCAAACTGAAACATTTATCTCACATTCTGAGAAACTTGGAGAGATAGATAATAGCCAAATCCCCAGACACACCAATTTTAGCCTGCATGTAAAGAGAACTTCTTTTTGTTTGAATCCTTTGAAGAATAACTTGATGGTAACTGAGGTAGGGCAGAAGAAACAGAGACAGGTAGTAAAGAGACAGAGAATATTGTAATTTGAAAATTATACTTTAAAATTTGCAGCTCCAGGACACAAAGTTATCCAAGATTATATTTGGTTTCCTTACTTTATACTACTCATTTTGAGATCCTTAAATCTTAAAAATACAATAGATTGAGTCTGTGCCTTTCTCCAGTAAAATGGGTCTCTCACCTTTAGGTTGGAGCTTCACCTCTCATCTGTAAACTGACACTGTGCTCGCTACAGAATCATAACTTTGCCTCCCAAAACACCCAAATATACCTAGCCATGAACCATAACTTAACTCACCCTTCAAGAGCCTACACTCCCTTGGTGTGTACAAACTTCTTTAGTTCCATTTAATAAACCTATCCATATCTCTCATTGATGTGTCCTGAAATGAAGAGCCTAAGTCATGCACAGGTGAGCTTAAGGTCCCCATTTCCTCTTTGGAGGGAACTTCCTGGGTCCGGGCAGGTGGCATTAATCAATCTGCTTTTTATATTATGCTGTTTCACTGTCCCTACTCAAGCTACTTTACAAAAACTAACTGTTCTACCTTACCCACTGCAGAACTTACCTATTGTTCAGATGGAGTGCTGTCTGACTCATATATCACTAATAAAAGCCAATTAGGTGATTTTTTTTCTTTTCTGGAAATATTCCCTTTCTACTCTTATACATTCTTCAGTAATCTACTGTAAAGCAGTTGTAATAACTAACTGTCAAGAGATCTAGAATTGGGTCCTGGCTCCACCACTGGACATTTTATTTATGTATTTATTTTTTGGTTCCAGGGATTAAACTCACTACCTTGTGCTTAGCAGGCAAACGCTTGAGACCTTGAGCTAAATCCCTGGTTCCATTTTGTTAAATTTTAAAACCATGGGTTTCAGTTTAATCCTGCCCTAAATGCAGAACTCAACTGGGCTCTTTCCAAGTGAAATAGGATAAGTTCTCCCATGGGAGAGGAGCTGGGAGCATTCTCAGGCCCTAATCCATGACCTGTCATCCACTGAAGTGAACACAACTCTTTTTCCCCATCCTCCTTTATGAACCAACTATATGTGCCCTTTCCTTTATCTCCTACACTTACTATGAAGACCAGGCACCCTGAGGTGATAGTAGTGGGTAACCTATACTAAAAGAAAATCTAAAACATGAGGCCATACTCATGACCCAATGGGAAGTTAGCCACACCCCAGAGAGGCCTTAAAAGCTACTCTGTTAACAGAGTCACTGTGATTGCCCTCAGACCTATGACCCCTTCAGCTACTCAAGCTTAAGCTCCGTCTCTATTTTCTGTTCCTTTTCAATAAAGCATAGTTCTTACAGAATGGCAGGATAAATGCTGGATTCCATTTACACACACACACACACACACACTTTCTCCCCATCTCTGTTTAAATTAAAATACTAACATACTAATTTTTTTCTTCTTTGAAAGTCTATTCTCTTTTACTATTTCCAAGGAACCAGTATGTTGCTTGAGCCCAGGACTGAGGCTCTCCACAAGAAATATTAAGGAA